ATGTTATAGATGCTGTATATGTTGTAGATGCTGTATATGCTATAGATGCTGTGTATGTTGTAGATGCTGTATATGTTGTATATGCTGTACATGTTATAGATGCTGTATATGTTATAGATGCTGTACATGTTGTAGATGTATTAGATGTTGTAGATGCTGTATATGTTATAGATGCTGTATATGTTATAGATGCTGTATATGTTGTAGATGGTGTATATGTTGTAGATTCTGTATATGTTGTAGATGTCTTAGATGTTATAGATGCTTTATATGTTATAAATGTTGTATATGTTATAGATGCTGTGTATGTTATAGATGTTGTATATGTTGTACATGCTGTATATGTTATAGATGCTGTATATGTTATAGATGCTGTGTATGTTATAGATGTTGTATATGTTATAGATGCTGTGTATGTTATAGATGCTGTATATGTTGTAGATGTCTTGGATGTTATAGATGCTGTATATTTTGTAGATGCTGTATATGTTATAGATGCTGTGTATGTTATAGATGTTGTATATGTTGTAGATGCTGTATATGTTGTAGATGTCTTAGATGTTATAGATGCTGTATATGTTATAGATGCTGTATATGTTGTAGATGCTGTATATGCTATAGATGCTGTGTATGTTGTAGATGCTGTATATGTAATAGATGCTATATAGATGCTATATATGTTGCAGATGCTGTATATGTTGTAGATGCTGTATATGTTATAGATGTCTTAGATGTTGTAGATGTCTTAGATGTTGTAGATGCTGTATATGTTGTAGATGCTGTATATGTTGTAGATGCGGTATATGTTGTAGATGCTGTATATGTTATAGATGCTGTGTATGTTATAGATGTTGTATATGTTATAGATGTTGTATATGTTATAGATGCTGTGTATGTTATAGATGTTGTATATGTTATAGATGTTGTATATGTTGTAGTTGCTGTATATGTTGTAGATGCTGTAGATGTTGTAGATGCTGTATATGTTATAGATGCTGTATATGTTGTAGATGCTGTATATGTTGTAAATGCTGTATATGTTGTAGATGCTGTATATGTTATAGATGCTGTATATGTTGTAGATACTGTATATGTTGTAGATGCTGTATATATTGTAGATGCTGTATATGTTGTAGATGTCTTAGATGTTGTAGATGCTGTATATGTTGTAGATGTCTTAGATGTTGTAGATGCTGTATATGTTGTAGATGTCTTAGATGTTGTAGATGCTGTATATGTTGTAGATGCTGTGTATGTTGTAGATGCTGTATTTGTTATAGATGCTGTTTATGTTGTAGATGTCTTAGATGTTGTAGATGCTGTATATGTTATAGATGCTGTATATGTTGTAGATGCTGTATATGTTTTAGATGTCTTAGATGTTATAGATGCTGTATGTTATAGATGCTGTATATGTTGTAGATGCTGTAGATGTTGTAGATGCTGTATATGTTGTAGATGCTGTATATGTTGTAGATGCTGTATATGTTGTAGATGCTGTATATGTTGTAGATGCTGTATATGTTATAGATGTATTAGATGTTGTAGATGCTGTATATGTTGTAGATGTTGTAGATGCTGTAGATGCTGTATATGTTATAGATGCTGTATATGTTGTAGATGCTGTATATGCTATAGATGCTGTGTATGTTGTAGATGCTGTATATGTAATAGATGCTATATAGATGCTATATATGTTGCAGATGCTGTATATGTTGTAGATGCTGTATATGTTGTAGATGTCTTAGATGTTGTAGATGCTGTATATGTTATAGATGCTGTATATGTTGTAGATGCTGTATATGTTATAGATGCTGTGTATGTTATAGATGTTGTATATGTTATAGATGTTGTATATGTTATAGATGCTGTGTATGTTATAGATGTTGTATATGTTATAGATGTTGTATATGTTGTAGTTGCTGTATATGTTGTAGATGCTGTAGATGTTGTAGATGTCTTAGATGTTGTAGATGCTGTATATGTTGTAGATGCTGTATATGTTGTAGATGCTGTATATGTTGTAGATGCTGTATATGTTGTAGATGCTGTATATGTTGTAGATGCTGTATATGTTATAGATGCTGTATATGTTGTAGATACTGTATATGTTGTAGATGCTGTATATATTGTAGATGCTGTATATGTTGTAGATGTCTTAGATGTTGTAGATGCTGTATATGTTGTAGATGTCTTAAATGTTGTAGATGCTGTGTATGTTGTAGATGTCTTAGATGTTATAGATGCTGTATATGTTGTAGATGTCTTAGATGTTGTAGATGCTGTATATGTTGTGGATGTCTTAAATGTTGTAGATGCTGTGTATGTTGTAGATGTCTTAGATGTTATAGATGCTGTATATGTTATAGATGCTGTATATGTTGTAGATGCTGTAGATGCTGTATATGTTGTAGATGTTGTATATGTTGTAGATGCTGTATATGTTGTAGATGTCTTAGATGTTGTAGATGCTGTATATGTTATAGATGCTGTATATGTTGTAGATGCTGTATATGTTATAGATGCTGTGTATGTTATAGATGTTGTATATGTTATAGATGTTGTATATGTTATAGATGCTGTGTATGTTATAGATGTTGTATATGTTATAGATGTTGTATATGTTGTAGTTGCTGTATATGTTGTAGATGCTGTAGATGTTGTAGATGTCTTAGATGTTGTAGATGCTGTATATGTTGTAGATGCTGTATATGTTGTAGATGCTGTATATGTTGTAGATGCTGTATATGTTGTAGATGCTGTATATGTTGTAGATGCTGTATATGTTATAGATGCTGTATATGTTGTAGATACTGTATATGTTGTAGATGCTGTATATATTGTAGATGCTGTATATGTTGTAGATGTCTTAGATGTTGTAGATGCTGTATATGTTGTAGATGTCTTAAATGTTGTAGATGCTGTGTATGTTGTAGATGTCTTAGATGTTATAGATGCTGTATATGTTGTAGATGTCTTAGATGTTGTAGATGCTGTATATGTTGTGGATGTCTTAAATGTTGTAGATGCTGTGTATGTTGTAGATGTCTTAGATGTTATAGATGCTGTATATGTTATAGATGCTGTATATGTTGTAGATGCTGTAGATGCTGTATATGTTGTAGATGTTGTATATGTTGTAGATGCTGTATATGTTGTAGATGTCTTAAATGTTGTAGATGCTGCATATGTTGTAGATGTCTTAGATGTTATAGATGCTGTATATGTTATAGATGCTGTATATGTTGTAGATGCTGTATGTGTTGTAGATGCTGTATATGTTATAGATGCTGTATATGTTGTAGATACTGTATATGTTGTAGATGCTGTATATATTGTAGATGCTCTATATGTTGTAGATGTCTTAGATGTTGTAGATGCTGTATATGTTGTAGATGTCTTAGATGTTGTAGATGCTGTATATGTTGTAGATGTCTTAGATGTTGTAGATGCTGTATATGTTGTAGATGCTGTGTATGTTGTAGATGCTGTATATGTTATAGATGCTGTATATGTTATAGATGTCTTAGATGTTGTAGATGCTGTATATGTTGTAGATGTTGTATATGTTGTAGATGCTGTATATGTTGTAGATGCTGTATATGTTATAGATGTCTTAGATGTTGTAGATGCTGTATATGTTGTAGATGTTGTATATGTTGTAGATGCTGTATATGTTCTAGATGCTGTATATGTTGTAGATGCTGTGTATGTTGTAGATGCTGTATATGTTGTAGATGCTGTGTATGTTGTAGATGCTGTATATGTTGTAGATGCTGTATATGTTGTAGATGCTGTATATGTTGTAGATGCTGTGTATGTTGTAGATGCTGTATATGTTATAGATGCTGTATATGTTGTAGATGCTGTATATGTTGTAGATGCTGTGTATGTTGTAGATGCTGTATATGTTATAGATGCTGTGTATGTTATAGATGCTGTGTATGTTGTAGATGCTGTATATGTTGTAGATGCTGTGTATGTTGTAGATGCTGTATATGTTATAGATGCTGTGTATGTTATAGATGCTGTATATGTTGTAGATGCTGTATATGTTGTAGATGCTGTAAATGTTATATATGCTGTATATGTTGTAGATGTCTTAAATGTTGTAGATGCTGTATATGTTGTAGATGCTGTATATGTTGTAGATGCTGTGTATGTTGTAGATGCTGTATATGTTGTAGATGCTGTACATGTTATAGATGTCTTAGATGTTGTAGATGCTGTATATGTTGTAGATGTTGTATATGTTGTAGATGCTGTATATGTTCTAGATGCTGTATATGTTGTAGATGCTGTGTATGTTGTAGATGCTGTATATGTTGTAGATGCTGTGTATGTTGTAGATGCTGTATATGTTATATATGCTGTATATGTTATAGATGTCTTAGATGTTGTAGATGCTGTATATGTTGTAGATGTTGTATATGTTGTAGATGCTGTATATGTTCTAGATGCTGTATATGTTGTAGATGCTGTGTATGTTGTAGATGCTGTATATGTTGTAGATGCTGTGTATGTTGTAGATGCTGTATATGTTGTAGATGCTGTATATGTTTTAGATGCTGTATATGTTGTAGATGCTGTGTATGTTGTAGATGCTGTATATGTTATAGATGCTGTATATGTTGTAGATGCTGTATATGTTGTAGATGCTGTGTATGTTGTAGATGCTGTATATGTTATAGATGCTGTGTATGTTATAGATGCTGTGTATGTTGTAGATGCTGTATATGTTGTAGATGCTGTGTATGTTGTAGATGCTGTATATGTTATAGATGCTGTGTATGTTATAGATGCTGTATATGTTGTAGATGCTGTATATGTTGTAGATGCTGTAAATGTTATATATGCTGTATATGTTGTAGATGTCTTAAATGTTGTAGATGCTGTATATGTTGTAGATGCTGTATATGTTGTAGATGCTGTGTATGTTGTAGATGCTGTATATGTTGTAGATGCTGTATATGTTTTAGATGTCTTAGATGTTATAGATGCTGTATGTTATAGATGCTGTATATGTTGTAGATGCTTTCTCTGCTGTATGTTCTGTAGATGTGTAAGGTGGTACTGTTTCTGGTGTCTGTTGTCGTGCACCTCTGCTGATGGAGCAGCAAAAGCAGAATCACCAAATAATTTGTTTGATCAACTCAACTTTGTTCTGCGATTTCAGCTTTACCAACGTTAAAGTCTCATCCATATTTGAACGTTAGGGCACAGAAATGATGTAAATTTATTGTCACCCTCCACCACCCGACACGGACAGATAATTGCGTGACTTAACCCGAATATAAGTGATGGATCAATTGGTTATGGATTACGCCAAACTAAACTTTTACTTTCAACATGTTTTTTATTGATCAGATATGGCCCACTGAGCTGTGTAGCTCTTCCTCCGAAGCGAGCTGTTGATCACAAATTGTAGCTCGACCAAGTGGTGGCTTCTCATCGCCTTGATTTTTTATGGTAGCCAAATGATTCTAAACGCGCGTGTCTACGATGGATGATGTTGACTGTGAACTCTGACTTCGCGTGTCCACCTCGCGTGTCCACCTCGCGTGTTCACCTCTCCCCTTCTCTCCCCCCTCTCTCCCTCGCCACTGCAGTGGTGTACGAGCATCGGTCTCGGCTGGAGAAGTCGCTCCAGAAGGAGCGCCAGAGCCACAGGCGCACCAAGGACGGTGAGGCAGCTCGGGTTTGCGGTGTGATACAACAGAGACAAATATCCCCCGTGTAGCCTCTAACAGACGGTTGGGGCAAGTGCTGATAGCGAGGAGCATCTTCGAAGACCTCCACTAATATACGTGCAGTGCGTGTTGCTTTGGGAAAGGAGGCAGTGTCAACTTCACTGGCAAATTATCTGAGTGTTTAGCCCAGCGTGTGGCTGATGCGTGCAATTAGTATGTCTGTGAGTGTCTGTGAGTCTGTGAGTGAGTCTGTGAGTGAGTCTGTGAGTCAGTCTGTGAGTCTGAGTGAGTCTGTGAGTGAGTCTGTGAGTCTGTGAGTGAGTCTGTGAGTGTCTGTGAGTGAGTTTGTGAGTGAGTTTGTGAGTCTGTGAGTGAGTCTGTGAGTGTGTCTGTGATTGTCTGTGAGTGAGTCTGTTAGTCTGTGAGTGTGTTTGTGAGTCTGTGAGTGAGTCTGTGAGTGTCTGTGGGTGAGTCTGTGAGTGAGTCTGTGACTGAGTCTGTGAGTGAGTCTGTGAGTGAGTCTGTGAGTCTGTGAGTGTGTCTGTGAGACTGTGAGTGTGTCTGTGAGTGAGTTTGTGAGTGAGTTTGTGAGTCTGTGAGTGAGTCTGTGAGTGAGTCTGTGAGGGTGTCTGTGAGTCTGGGAGTGAGTATGTGAGTGAGTCTGTGAGTGCCTGCGAGTGAGTTTGTGAGTGAATTTGTGAGTCCGTGAGTGAGTCTGTGAGTCTGTGAGTGTGTCTGTGAGTCTGTGAGTGAGTCTGTGAGTGAGTCTGTGAGTGTCTGTGAGTGAGTTTGTGAGTGAGTTTGTGAGTCTGTGAGTGAGTCTGTGAGTGAGTCTGTGAGTTTGTCTGTGAGTGAGTTTGTGAGTGTGTCTGTGAGTGAGTCTGTGAGTGAGTCTGTGAGTCTGTGAGTGAGTCTGTGAGTGTCTGTGAGTCTGTAAGTGTGTCTGTGAGTGAGTCTGTGAGTGAGTCTGTGAGTGTCTGTGAGTCAGTCTGTGAGTGAGTCTGTGAGTGAGTCTGTGAGTCAGTGAGTGTGTTTGTGAGTCTGTGAGTGAGTCTGTGAGTGTCTGTGAGTGAGTTTGTGAGTGAGTTTGTGAGTGAGTTTGTGAGTCTGTGAGTGAGTCTGTGACTGAGTCTGTGAGTGAGTCTGTGAGTGAGTCTGTGAGTCTGTGAGTCTCTGTGTGAGTCTGTGAGTGAGTCTGTGAGTGAGTCTGTGAGTGTCTGTGAGTGAGTTTTTGAGTGAATTTGTGAGTCTGTGAGTGAATCTGTGAGTGAGTCTGTGAGTGAGTCTGTGAGTGAGTCTGTGAGTCTGTGAGTGTGTCTGCGAGTCTGTGAGTGAGTCTGTGAGTGAGTTTGTGAGTGAGTCTGTGAGTGAGTCTGTGAGTGAGTTTGTGAGTGAGTTTGTGAGTGAATCTGTGAGTGAGTCTGTGAGTGTCTGTGAATGAGTTTGTGAGTGAGTTTGTGAGTCTGTAAGTGGGTCTGTGAGTGAGTCTGTGAGTCTGTGAGTGAGTCTGTGAGTGTGTCTGTGAGTCTGTGAGTGAGTCTGTGAATGAGTCTGTGAGTGTCTGTGAGTGAGTCTTGAGTGTCTGTGAGTGAGTTTGTGAGTGAGTCTGTGAGTCTGTGAGTGATTCTGTGATTGTGTCTCTGAGTGTGTCTGTGAGTCTGTGAGTGTGTCTGTTAGTCCGGCAAAACAACCCCCTACCTACTCGCGGTGCCGGACGGGCAACTCTGTCGTGGACAGCGCTGTGGGGGGATATCCAATTTTGATTGGCTCCTCCCCTCATGGCATATGTGTCCACCACAGGGGCTAAACGGGGGCTCTGGACGGGTGCGAGGGGCTGGTAACCCCTTCACCTCCAATTAATTACCACGAAACCACGAATTAAACTGAAATATGTAACAACTAAGCTTGTGCCGGAGGCCCCGGGGGGCCAGGCGTCTATGACGTCTCCTGGCCAAACCCCAATTGGCGGAGCCAGGAGATTGAATACCTACCCTCGGGGCTACTCCAGAAACAAGGAAAAGCCACTACGGGTGGCCACGTGGAATGTTCGAACGCTCACTGCAGAGGAGAGGCTGCCACTCCTCTGTCGGGAGCTGGACCGGTACCGCCTTGATCTATGCGGCATTCAGGAGGTCCGGTGGACCGGCTCTGGCTCCTGCCACCATGAGGGGTGGACAGTCCTCTACTCGGGGCAGCAGACTGCCAAACAACAGGGTGTGGGTCTTCTTTTGAACAAAAGAATGAAGGGGGCGTGGGAGCGTGGCGGTGAGGTGTGGGAAGCTGTAAGCCCCAGGCTACTTTGGGCTCGCCTTCCCATCAACCGGAGGCGAGGAATGGTGGTCGTGGTTACTTATGCCCCCACCGAAGATGAACATCCGTGGAGGGATGCAGGCAAAGCCGATGAGTCAGATGCCTTCTATTACCTCCTGTCACAGGTGCTGGCTAAAGTGGCCCCTCGGGATAGAGTCATCATGTTGGGTGACTTCAATGCCCGAGTTGGTCATGATACTGGCACCTGGTCTGGAGTGATTGGAGGGCATGGGCCAGATCAGCTCAATAACAACGGTAGGAGGCTGCTAGATTTTTGTGCAGCCCATGGGCTTGTAATTACCAACACGCTGTTCCGGCATCGGCGCATCCACACAACATCATGGATGCATGCCGGGTCCAAGCAAGAACATCTGCTGGACTACATAGTGACGGACCAGCGAATACGAGCCCATGTCCTTGACACCAGGACCTACCGTGGAGCTGATCTGCCCTCTGACCATCGACTAGTCATCTGTAAGATGCGCCTGCCATTCTTCCACTCCGGTGGTGGGTGTACACCCAGGACCCCATTCCAACCTAAAGTGGCCTGGTCTCAGTTATCTGATGAAAGTTGCAAGCGAGAATTTCATCATCGCTTGCGGCTCGGGTTGGCATCGTCCCCGACTCCTCCTGATGTCGAGGGTAAATGGGCGAGGTTTAGGACTGTGACTCATGCAGCTGCAATGGCTGCTTTGGGTATGCGGTCCAGACCTCCCCAGACACCCTGGCTGACAGAGGAGTTGTTCAGGATGGTTGAGAAAAAGCGACAGGCCCACTGTCATCGGCTACAGAATCCCACGTCAGAGAATGAGGAGGCTTACCGCAGCCTTCGCTCGGAGGTTCGGAGAGCCGTGAGGCGCTGCAAGGATGGGTGGTGGTCGCGGGTTGCTGAGGAGATGGAGTCTGCCTCAGTGGCCCGTGATCACAAATCTCTATTTAACTCCATCAAAAAAGTAACCTGCAGCGCCACACCTATTACCATCATTAGGGGAAAAAACGGTGATCCAATTTCCGACCCCCAGGAACAGGTTCGCAGATTTGCTGAGCATTTCTGTGAGGTCCTGGGGGAGGTAAAATCCCTCAGCCAGGAAAACATCGTGGCACAAAGTGAGGATGACCCTGCTGAGGCTGCGGTGCCTCAAATATTGGATGAAGTCACCCCCTGTGAGTGGCTGGCTGAGGTGCCATCTGCTGAGGAAGTATTGAAGGCGATCCGGAGTCTGAGACCAGGAAAGGCAGCGGGCAGAGATGATCTCCCAAGCGAAATGCTGAGGGAGGGTGGCGTTTGTGCACAGACTGCCCTATATGACATCATAACAACAATCTGGACCACTGGACGGGTTTCGCAGGATTGGAAGGATGCCCTGGTGGTCCCCCTTTTTAAGAAGGGGGACCGCACAGACTGTAACAACTACAGGGGCATCTCACTCCTCAGTGTGCCGGGAAAGGTCCTGGCAAGGATTATTCAGCATCGCCTTGCCAGGCACGCTGAGGAGAGGCTTGCGGAGCCCCAATGCGGTTTCAGGAAAGGGCGGTCCTGCACAGATGCCATATTTTCTGTCCGTCTGCTACAGCAGAGGTGTAGGGAATTCCAACAAGACCTACATCTCTGCTTTATTGACCTGGTCAAGGCCTATGATACCATCAGTAGGCCTGGGCTCTGGGTCGTTCTTCGTGCTTTTGGAGTACCTGACCCTCTGCTCACGATCATTAAGGACCTTCATGATGGTGAGCGGGCCCGGGTAAAACTACGTGGCCGGGAGTCAGAGCCATTCCCTGTACACCTTGGGGTGCGACAGGGATGTCCTCTGGCTCCCACATTATTTAACATCTATTTTGACCACGTAGTTCGTGAAGCCTGCAATAGCTGTACTGGGGGAATCTCCATATGGTACAGATATAATGGGAGGCTAATCGATGCCCGGGTGCGGTCAAGGGATGGCTCCCTATTGCTCAACCACGTTATGTATGCTGATGATTTGGTAATAGCTGCTCAGTCAGAGGAGGAGTTGGAGACGCTGCTGCTGAGACTGGAGCGTGCCACTAAGAGGTGGGGCCTTACCATCAGCCCCACCAAAACTAAGCACCTGCCTGGGTATTTTGTACCATCGGACACTCCACCCCCACAACTCCCAATCGGTGATGGGGCAGTTGTGGAGAGGGTGGAGCGTTTCCCATACCTGGGCAGTGTGCTTATGACTGGCTCCAGTTTAACAGCAGAGGTCTCACTCCGAATCAGTCGAGCGGCAATATCTTTTCATCGGTTGCGTAACGCTGTGTGGAAGCTACCTGGTCTGTCGCTCCGCACTAAGCTTCACGTTTTCTCGGCCACGGTCATTCCCTCCCTTCTCTACGCTTGCGAAACGTGGACCCCCCTAATGGAACATCTTCACCGGTTAGAAACATTTAGGCTGGCCTGCCTACGATCCATCCTGGGTTTAACCAGACTGGATTGTGTGAGGAGCTCACAAATCCTTGAAAGATCTGGGCAGGGTCCCGTCAGTGAGCTCCTCCGGCAGGCAAGGCTGCGATGGCTGGGTCATGTAGCTCGCATGCCCAGCCACCGCATGTCGAAACAGCTTTTGTTTGGCCGGATTGAGGGGGCTAAGCGGGCGCGGCACGGGCTAGAGAAGAGATGGAGTGATGTGGTACAGGAGGACGTGGAGCTGAGTGGACTTGCCGAT